GAAAAGTCCAAGGGTGTTTCTCAATGTCAAGGAAACTTGCCTTGATGTCTCGGCCCCGCCCCGGTTGCCAAGGAGATACATCATCAGGAGCCACCAAGACGTGTTCCAATGTTCATGTTCTACCGAGGCGTGTTCTCCGTTTGTTAGCCGTTTAGCTAGCTGAGCAAGGATATACGGGAGGTGTCTTGTAGCCTAGTCTTGGCCAAAAATTACCCACAACACACCGCGGTATTTTCAAAAGGACCGCGGATCAGAAGCCGGCAGCTACTTTGGGGATGATTTTCAAGTTTAAAAGTAAGTCAATTAATTTAAAATGTTTTTTTAGATCCAAAGAAGTTATCTATGGTTGGTTAGTTGCTTAGTAGTTGCAGCTTTGGCGGCTAGCGGGTAGTAGCTCGCTTATATTTTTAATTTAATAAACATATACACAATTTAAAAAGTAAAAGGCTCGTTTTTTATATATATATATATATATATATATATATATATATATATATATATATATATATATATATATATATATACATACATAAACTAATACCTATAAAATTTAAGGTTATCTCTCGTGTTACGTGACGTTACGTGACCGCCGTGGAAGCCGCGGTCACGTGATGCGAGTCTGTTCCATTTAACCATTTTCTTTGACCAACGAAGGACAGTGTCCTTGTAAGCAAGGCACCTGGCCTCGCAAGACATCACCTTTCAAGGCCAGGCGCCTTGACATTGAGAAACACCCCAAGTTCCCAAAATATCATCATGACAACTCTGAGGGGGGTGAATTTATTTGTAACTCGAATTATGAAAAATTAGGGGCTTTTGATTGACAGGTGCGCCATCAGCGCTAGCAGCTGCTAGCTCCAGGGCAGGCCTCAGCCTTGGCCGCCTACTAAAAGCCTTACAGCCTAGAAGGCAGAGGGTAGTAGAAAAGCTCAACTGTTTTTTTCTGGCTAAAAGCACCCGTCAACTGCCGTTAGCTTTGGTTAGCTCAGAGCTACACCGTCTCAGAGTCTGGGCCCACTCTCACAGCCACGCTCTCAGATCCATTTTCGTATTTTCTAGGAGTGACACAGCCAAGATGGCAACTCAGATCTTCAGAAACCTACTAGTGACGGCACAGAGGGTTGGCCCATTTTATATATACAGCCAATGGTCCAGATCCACATCCCACATGTCGGACGTTTACGATAAAAGACAGTGAAACAGTGACTCGACATATGTTGGATCAGTGGGGGGGGGGGGGCTTTTCCTGGGAAGTCAGACCCAGCCAACATCTGATGTGTTTACAATCACTCAACAGTTTGGATGTGACCAGTGATTTCTGTAATGTCAAATAAAAAGTAAAAGAGATCATCTCTCAATGCGGAAAATACATAAGAAAGGAAAAGGGTCGATACCAAACTGCTCATTTAGGTAGGATGTGTGTGATCTCCAGACATGGTCATGTGTAGCTCGATCATCCGTGGATCAAATTTCTCCTCGGCTGGTTAGAACCAAGTTGTAGGATAATTAATCTGCAAGTTATTCTGAGGCAACGTTCACTTCCTCTTCTGTGGCTGATAGCAACAAGCAGCTAAATAAAACACGCTACCGCTAATAATGACATACACACGTGTCACGTTTACTTTATCTGAGCCAAACGTGGGACAGTGAGGGTTCAGGCTGCATGAGTGCACATCCTGCTGCAGGGTATCAATGCTGGTATTTAGGGCTGCAACAAACGATTATTTGGATAATTGATTAATCGGATGGGGTCTCGACACGATTAATCGATTAATCGGATTACATGGGGAAATTTTTAAAAACTGCTAGGGAAACGTTATTTCTCTCCTTCCTTCACTTTATTTAACACAACATTATTAGAAAACAGTTCAATAGCAGAAAAACAACATGCCATCACCTAAATTGTCTTATAAGGTGTATAGACAGAGACCCTAAGCTACATCTATCTGTGACCTAAAATGCTTGGTCCAAGTTAAACAGCTTAAGAGCAATTCTCATCTGTTTTGTTTGATCTCATCTGTTGACATTTATTTTAAATGTAATTAAACATAGGCCGTGAATTAATCAAAATTGATCACTATTTCCAAAAATGACTGAAAAAATACCAAATAAAACAAAAGTAAATGAATGCCATCCTCCTTGCGATGATGCCCTGGGCAACTGCCATAAAGTCACATCAAGAAATGCTGATGATCATTCCAATGATCCCAAATAGACTCGCATTAGGCCACATGAAAGCAACTGAACCCAAAAATATATTAACCAGTATATAACTGCACTCTCACACAACACGCCTGCAGCAACAGTTAGGACTCCTCCCTCCCTTTTAAAAGCGTTTTTGCTTCTGAGGACATTGTGGTTGTAAAACCACATGCTGGTAGTCTGGCCCCGGTGTGATCAACCAGTTTCTGCGGGAATGTGACGGCGGAACCAGGGCCAGATTAACACTTTGTTGTACCCTGGGCAACAATATTCAAGGGCTCCATCATCACGACCCAAGGATCACCATAATGTGGTCACATACAGAATATTTTACTGTAATATGCAGTAAATATACTCAATACTTGAATGCCTGAAAACACGTAACCCGCCCAGAGTAACCTTTGACCCACCTTGTGTGGACTGACCAATGAAGAAAGGGTCTTAACTTGAGGCCCTCTCTTCTTGCCTACGACTGACTCTCAACTGACGTTCAGTCGTAGGCAGCGAAGCGTCTCTGTGCAGCACAAAAGCCCGGGTGGACAGTTTGTTTAATGTAGGGTGATCATATTTCCATTTCCAAACAAGAGGACAGGGATCTGTGCCTATGACGTCACACTACGGCAACGCCACACAAACCATGTTGGGACCCATTTTTTGTAAGAACTAAATTAATATCAGATTCTGCCAATTAAAGGGCTCTAAAACAATTCATATGTAAATATTTTGCATATTTAATGCAAAATCTAATTTTTCTGCTTTAGTGCTGCAACAAGGTTTTATTAATAATAAATTATAATACCTTTTGTTTTACTACAGCATCGGTAAGCTTCCTGTGCACAGATTATTAAGGATGCTTGTTTCAGCTGTGAGATTAGACGATAGGATCAATGAAAAAATAAGTTGTCACACACTCCATGGAAACTTCCAGAGAATCCACAAATAGTGGCTTTCAAATGGTTTTGTTACTTTTAGCAAGTTTAGAAAAGCAGCTGATGAGACAGCATGTCTGATAATTTAGTTTTTCATCTGATAATATTAGAACATGTCAGTAATGTCTGAGGGGCTTTTACAAACACTGTATAACTAACACTACTGGAGAGGGTATGAATTACACAGAGGCTTCTGGGGAGCCCAGTTATTGGGGGGGGGGGGGGGGGGGGGGGGGGGCATTTCGCCTTGGCCCCCAAAATGTCTTGAAACGGCCCTGGGTGTGTGACTGAGTTTTGAAGGTGATCTGAATTGTATCAGATGTATAAATATTACATGTGTGTAACTTGTTGTTTTTTACTGGTAAAAACGTGTCGTGGAGATAAATCTACCTACATTTTACTTTTCAACACTTTGTTTTGTTTTCTTGTTTTTATTGAACTATTTTCCTGTCCTGTCTGTCTCTCATCTTCCTGCATCTCCTCTTAATTCTCCAGAAAATCTGTTGCCTGGATTCTTACCTTTTCACCTCATCAGTTACTTTTGAGCAGATCAAAGGGATCTCCTGACCGAAAAGCGGAGAGCGCGTTTTCGATGCTGCGTGGGGTGAAATCACCACAGCACAGGTGATGAGCTCCGCAGTAGCAGAGCGCTTCAGGCACAAATAAGACAGAAAATAGAGAACATGTGCGGACATGAACGATCGTGTGCTAATTATAGTTTTTTGGTTGCGCCACTTTGAGAATGGACCGTGCGCTGGAAGCAGCTGCCTGGATCGCTGTGCAACAATGCGGAACCGGTTCGCAGCAGCGCAAGTCTGCAGGCTCTCCCTCGCGCTGATCTGCCGCTACCGGCTCTCCCTCGCGCTGATCTGCCGCTACCGGCTCTCCCTCGCGCTGATCTGCCGCTACCGGCTCTCCCTCACGCTGATCTGCCGGCTCTCCCTTGCGCTGATCTGCGGCTCTCCCTCCCGCTGATCTGCGGCTCTCCCTCGCGCTGATCTGCGGCTCTCCCTCGCGCTGATCTGACTTGCTCTGGTCTGCGCGCAACGGCGGGCGGGAAGGGGGGGGGGGCGCTTTTGGAAGAGTTGTGCGACACAACGAATCGATGACGCAATTCGTTGCCAACGCTTTTAGTAATCGATTTTCATCGAATTTATCGATTCGTTGTTGCAGCCCTACTGGTATTGGTGTGTCCCTGAAAAATTCAAACAGTTTCCCCAGAGAAAGAAGAAGAAGACTTGTTTGTGACGTTTTCAATAAATGCAGTAAGAGGTAAAAGCAGCAAATATTGACAGTGGAGCATGTAGCCATAGCTAAGCTCACAGAGGGAACAGCTACGTCAGATCAGCCGCAACAATCATCACAACATAAACACAGCAGGGCAAATGAGCCAATCCAAACCTAAAAGCAAGTTCCTACACATCATCTCATTTTCTTTTATAAGGCACAGCTAATAACTGGATTGCCCGTTTTTATGCACACCCCTCTGCTTCCACCTCCTGATCACTGTTTTGATCTCTCTAATCTCATTTCAGAACCAGTCCATTAGCTTTGGCGTTCCATGAAATGCAAACTAAACAATGTTTACCGAGCTAAATCTGACGTCTACGGCCTTTAAGTGACTGGAAGGTGAGCTGACAGCACACACAAGACATGTTTGGCAGATAACGTCAGGACTTGGCTCCAGATTTCTGTTCCCTCTTGTGCATGTAGGAACAAAACAGCTAGCGTGAGCTTTTAAACAGCCTGGATAAACCTGAACTTCCAGGAAGGCAACGGTAATAAGACACAGCAACTTTGGTAAAAGAGCAAGACAAACTGATTCCAGATGAGAGAACAGAGGGAATTTTAGCAAAATTCCCAACTCACCTGTGCGCTCTATGTAGTCGACACATTTCTCGACGAAGTGTGGAATAAGACGCTCCGGGGTCACCAGGTTCAGCAGGGGAACGCCAAAATAATTACTCTCCCAGGTTCTTCGTGTGGGCGGGTACAAAGGCTTAGGGGGCTTGATCGTTTTGGGCTGTAAGAAATCAAAAGATGCTCCATAAAGAAATTTGATGTGACAAAAACGGATGGACAGCAATGAAGACGATGACAGCGGAGAACGGGAAGATGTATATTTTAAGGCCTAGGGATACGGGCCAGGGCAGAACTGAGTTTCTACATCTTGTTAGGAGTTGGAGTCTGTGCTTTTAATGACCACATCAGAGTTTGGGCTAGTGTCTGTAATACCACTTGTGTTTTTATTACCACCTGAATGTAGAAATAGTAAAGGAGAAGAGAAAGATAAACAATAGTATGTACAAACGGAAGAAAGAGGGAGACTGGGGAGTGAGGGAATAGATGAAGACCCGAGGCGCAGCAAATGAGAGGCTGAAGAGATGGAAACATCAGAGAAGGAGAAGAGGGCAACCAGGGAATAGATCATAAAGAACTTTAGTGGGATGAAGGGAAGGAGGGGGTAACAGGGAAAGAACAGGGAAAGACAAGACGACTGGGGACAACTTTAGTCATGCCTACAGCTGGGGCGAGTAGCGAGGAGCTGCATTAGCTTGGATTTCCCATCATCCTCTGCTCTTCAAAGTGTTGTCATGCCTACAGCGGTCTGAGCTTCTGTCTAATTGGCCGTGACAGCCATTTTAACACCTTCCATTTTGTACCTTCTGGTTGTCCTTTGGATCCCAGCTCCGATTATCAAAGACACTTCAATGTTCCAACAATGCCCTGCATTCATGATGCCGTGTGGCACAGGCGGATGCTTCTCTGATGATTTGCACACCGTTATCAGATCTGTAGCACTGTGTCTCTGTTTCACTCATGCAAGAGTTTGACTGAAAATAAATATTAAAACTGAATCTTTTATCGCTGTGAGTGAAACAGAGAACGGTGATGTTTGTTGTTGTTTTCAGTAGGACTCAAAACGATGCTGACGGAAAAATCCAGATCTACTGTGAGGATCCAACTGATGTTGCTGCGGTGCGAGTCCTGTTGTTCATCCATATTAGTATAGAAGTTTGTAACCCCGGTCTGCCTAACGTTTCTCAGACAGAGCCTCGGCCAGCTTTAACAAAGAGGCTTTTATGAGCTTTTTTATGGCCTGTCTGAGGCCTGTAGGGCGCTGAGGTTCAGTCAATAACTGATCTAATTAAACTTATTCTTAATTAAAGACTCAGCTATTAAATATGCATACAAGTAACACTAACTTCTGTTCTACGTGTTGATCATTTGTTAATTCTTGCTGTGCAGCGTTTCCAAAGTAAAAGCCAAAAGAAAACGCAGCATTAGCACTCCGCAAAGCAAACTAAATAGAGAAGGCTCACCTTCTTCGGTTCCTTTGGTGTCTTAGGAGTCTTCTTCTTCTTTGCTTTCTTGTCATCCTGTTCGGGGTCAGAAGTGATGGCGGGATTATCTATCCCAATCTTCCATTGGTCAGCTGGAGAGAGCAGAGGGTCCTCCTCACTGCCCCTGTGGGCTCTTCCCTTTTTCTTCTTCTGTGTTGCAGGACAAGACTCCTCCCCCTCGCTGTCCGACAGGAATCGTCTTTGGTATGCTTTTGTTTTACTGAACAGGATTTTAGAGCGATGTTTGTATTTTGATGGACGCCTTCCAGCCTGAGGTCTACGATCAAACCCGTTCTCCTCCTCTCCTCCGTGGGGGCCATGTACTCCACCGAAGGAGTTTTTCATTTTAACCAATCGGCTGTGTGCATCCTCTGGAACCGCATATATGTCATCATTGTGGAAGCCCCTGGACCTGAATAGGGTGTCCACTGGGTCTGCATAGTTGTCTGATGCCTCCACGTCTTCCGAGTGAGTGCCTGGGCCACGGGGCATCCTGCGATTACCTCGCATACCCGCCTCAATAGTTTTGAGCAGGTTGGGGTCAAGCTTTCTCACATTAGGCTTGGGGAGCACTGGTTTGGGTCGGACAGGTGGAGGCACTTTGTGGTTACGTTCATGGTCTCCAACAGGCGTGCTATGAATGGGATACTCATTCCCCTCTAGGTCAATACGATACTTGGCCCGTTCACTTGGTGTAGGGAGAAGCTGAACGTCATCACCGATCGGACTGTAAGGTGGCGGAGCCTCGTTGTCGTCATCCGACTCCGGGTAATAGGTGTTGTAGGCTGGGGAGTGGCTGTGGGGGGACGTGGGGAAGACATCTTCACTGGCTCCGGTGGTACACTCACGCGATGAGCTATCAAACAGGAAGGCGCTTTCAATGTTTGGCTTCTTTTCTAGCACTTCATTGAAAAAGGGTGTAAAAACTTCTGTCTGCCGATGATATTGTGACAGTGAATAGAGCGCTGTAAACTTGGCAGCAATTTCTGTTGCAATGTGCTCCCCCTCTGTCATCAGTTCCTTGATGGAATCATTCTCAAAGAAATCTGCCTGGCTGTCTGTGATGGCCACCATCTGGACCGGGATCACATCCTGGACTTCAGCCAAGAACGCTCGCAGGGTTGCCATAGAGGCCTTGCGTTTGGCAGAGTACACCAGAATGTAGCCATGCACCAGTTCGTCTTTACGAACACCAATAGCAGAGTGGTAGGAAAGGATGGTGACCTGGATCCTTTTCCGGCTGTCCCTGATGATCTTGTCCAAAATTAGTGTGTTGCTCTGACCTGGCTGCCCTGCACTACAGCAATGTGAGTCTAAGAAAGGTGAGAGGATGAGGTCAACGCTGAAAGGATCCCAGCACATGGCACACATGACTATTCTAAGGTCTGTCTCTGTCATGTCTTTAATGCAGGGCAACGGGGCCAACACATCATAGTTATGCTTCAGCCCCTCCAGCACTGCTCTGAGGCCCTGCTTAATTTGGAACTCTGTGAATTTTCGAGGAAAAGCCCCTGAGGGGATATCAACAAAGGTGCACTGCAACTTGTTGGCCAGCTGTTGGCCCTGGTGCCTCAGGATAGGTATGTTTTTACAAACATTGTCCCTCTGATTTGCAAGAATGAGTATGAAAGGGAGTGGCTGAGCAAATCGATCTCGTCGACTCTGCGCCATCTCTGCTCTGATCCTACCAATGCAATCACCAATGCTGTTAAGGGACTCTATAGAGCTGAACACACAAAAGCAACCGTGAGGTTTAAAAGTGGTGACCCACGTGTGACTGAAAAGTAGCGTGGAATTCACATCAACAGGGAGAAGCTCCAATTCATAAATTTTACCATCTAGGGTATACTCATCATCCGTGGACTGAGCTCTGATTTCATTGGCTAGTTCTTGTGACAAACCATCCTTTCCCAGGAGGCAGAGGTTGATTTTATCAATGTTGGCACTGTTATAGTAGAGATTAGATCGGCCATGGTCGAGCTGCACCAGCCTGTTGGCCAAAACCTGCTCCACTTTCAGATCTACACAGTTCTGCCCACTCAGGCACGTCTCTTTAGTGGGATGGTAAACAAACCCAATGTGTTTGAGGAGGAGCGACTCTCTATCTGGGGCAAGTTTCTGCAGAGCTCTATATCTGGGCTCCTCATTTAGCACACTGTGAATTTCAGTCATCTTGTCACAGCTGGGGGTTGCATTCAGGTCCAAGTCATAAAATAGCTCAGCATGCTCAAACAGCATTTCCTGAAAATCCTCTTTGGCCTTTTCAACTATTTCCTGCTGGTGCCTAGAGTAAACATCTCTCCTATCTGATTCAGTGATGTACTTGTAGGCTTCATCTTCCATGACAAAGCACATGACTTCCTCCCAAGGCTGGCCCGGACTGATGAAATGAACTCTTTCCAGCGTTTTTTTGAATCTTTCTTTCATCTCCCCTCGTCTTTTCTCTGACAGCAGGTGCTGGACGTGGTTATAGTAAATTCTCCCAGCATCAGGTGTCTCAAGGAGGTCAAAGGGTATCCTGCGGTCACTGTTATCTATGTGGTCGGTTTCATCCCAGGGTGTATGCTCCAGTCGTACAAACCAGTACTGGAAATCCGGCCTAATGCGGATAACATCCTGTGCCTCAGCCCATGACAAATGTTCTACCTCCTCTAGGTTATTGAACAGGTTGTTGAGGGTTTTTGGCAGAGTAGTCAGGTACTCTTCACGCCTCCTATTTATGTGCTCTTGCTTCAGTTTTTCAATGTGTTTAGTGAACATGCTGCGGGCTTTCCGGGAGCCCTCCAGGGTGATGAATTCATCGTAGTCTGACTGGCCTTTGAGAATATTTGCTACAGTTTTCCACGTAGTGTGATAATCTCTTACTGTGTGAAGCATAACTTTCTCAAACCGGTCTGTTACGGAGGCAATAAGCTGCCGCTGGACTTTATAGGCCTCCAAGTACGGCACCGTTTTTGGCTTTCCTCTTGTTTTGTCCAGCTGCTGGATAAGGGCATTGAAGGACAAGTCTATGTTCACGTTGAAGCGTGCCGCTGTTTCAATCACCATTAGGTTTTTCTTGCTGTTAACAAAGGCATAGAGGTCCCTTAGATGCTGGTCCACACACTCGTCACATTTTGTGGCAGCAACAACAATAGGTTTCTTGGATTTGACTATTTGTGAGTAGAGACTGTTGACAAACTTCATTTGATCATCAAACTTCCTATTGCAGCCCTTGCTAACATCAACACACAGTACAAAACCGTCAATGTTCAGTTTCCCGTCTGGCATCTGTTTCTGGTCGAAGTCCTGCTCCAGACCCAGCTGGTCTGTGCAGATGTACATGAGCTTCTCTGCTGACTGCAGCTTGGTCGCCGCAGATCTTTTGGTATATGGCTGCAAGTTTGTGCTCCGATGCGGAAGAAATGTTTGGTCATCAATGAACTCAGTTTGTTCAATGACTTGGATTTTACAGTCCAAACCCTCATCTCCTCGATGGGATACATCTCCCCAGTAAAGGAAGTGGTCATTGTTGACCACACGTCCACCAAAGTCTATGGTGCTGAGCACAGAGGTGTGCTCAGAGTAGTAATTGTCCGCATCAGGACGCACATATCGGTTGCATAAGCAGGACTTGCCCACACCACAGTTGCCCTTCTCTTTCTCAGTCCCAGAGAGGCCAACCACGCTGACAGCGAATGTCGGAGGGCGTGCATCCTTGTTCTTGGCCATTATATCCCCCCGCTCATCGCTAACTTGGTTACGATTAAAAAAAAGAGGTCAAGAGATCATTCCAGTTCTGCTCGTCAGAAGGTTAGAGGACCTGTCATCTTCTATTCCTTTTGTTCCAGTGAAAGCTTCTTTCTGTATCACTCTTGGTTCAAATCCCGTGTGTCCTTCAAGCTGGGACGGAGAAGCCAGCTTCTCCTTTTATCACCTCCCTGCAAGACAAACCAAATTGGGAAACAGTTAGGACACTTTCATTTCCACAATTCATCTTTGTAAAAAAAATACACTCGTCTCTGAAAAAAGTGAACACTGTTGCGTTTCTAAAAATTATAAGAACTAAACGGCCTGTATTTGATATAGCGCCTTCTAGAGTCCTGGAACCCCCCAAGGCGCTTTACAACACAATCAGTCATTCACCCATTCACACTCTGGTGGTGATGAGCTACACTGTAGCCACGGCTGCCCTGGGGCGCACTGACAGAGGTGAGTCTGCCGTACACAGGTGCCACTGGTCCCTCCGACCACCACCAGCAGGCAAGGGGGTTAAGTGTCTTGCCCAAGGACACAACGACAGCAACAGACTGAGCGAGACTCGAACCTGCAACCTTCTGATTATGGGGCGAGCACTTAGCTCCTGTGCCACCGTCACCCCATCAACCGTCGACCTAAATGAAGTCAAACAGCAGAACAAGCCACACTTTTACTAATTTTCTTCTGAAGGTGAGGGCCTATCACACACCTAGCTAAGATGATTTAGAGTGAAAACATTCATGTTTAAAATGCTAAATACGGCTGCAAAATAGAGACTTTTCTGAGCAAACTATAAATCCCAGGGGGACAGTAACATTTATATAAGAGAAGGGAGACTAATTAAGTCAAGGACCATGCTCAGCAATGTCACTTCTTCCCTTTGTGGTGAAAAACGGAGTCCATTCAACCAATTTGTGCCGAGGCAAGATAAAAATGGCCGGCAACACCAGCCCTTTGACAGCCACTGACCTAGAAATTATTTGCTGTGCTATGAGAACGAAACAGAGAAGATACATCGTTCAGATTTGTTATCAGCAGCACATCCTGGGGCTACTTTATCAGGCCTAAACATTTAATCCTGATTGTGCTGCCGGTTGTTGTCTTAACATTTTTAGCCTGGAATACTAATAAACCTGCTTTCGGGATTATTTTTGCTGCTTGCAGCTTTTCTGTTGAGAATTTCTAAATGAAGGCAGATTAAATAAAATGTAAAACATGTGGAAGTGTAACAGTGCTCATTGCTATGCAGAACTGCCACTGTCCAATACACTGTGACCTTGAGGCAAGCTGAAAAACAGCATAAAAAGGTTTTTTTTACAGAATGATCTGGTGAAGCTGCCTGTGTGAGTTGTAACCGAGAGCTGCAGCGTGAGCCAAAAACCTGAACCAGAGCAGTTCACATGGAACAATCAGAGGTTCCCCCAACCGTTTACACCAGCCAAGGTGGTTATGTCACCTGTGTGTGCACACGCCAGAGTAGCGTGTGTGTTTAAAGGGAGGGTGAGGGTGGTACACGGTCTTGCGAGCTATATCACGAGGTTTTAAATGTTTGGACTAAAAAGAAGCTTGAAAATAAATGAAATGAATCAGAAGTCTTAAATTGCATCACATTAAAACATAATCTTTAAATGATTAGAGCTTTCACTTCTTTAAAAGGTGCTTTAACTGTTTCCAGCTAACACCAAATCTGAACTCTAACCAGAAGCTTTATTGCCCCCAGACCACACCCAAGGAACCAGCTAATAATGTAGGAAAGAAACCAACCAGCCGGTCTGTCGGGTTCCCTAAGCCAACAACAGCCCTTTAGCTACTGCGCAGGCACCTGTGCTGCAGCAGGCTACAGCTCTAGGGCGATAGGACCATGTGAGACCATGAAGGGTTTGAACAAGTTGAACGTTTTCTGTACGACACATTCTGTTGGTCGGACTGAAAACAAAGCGGGTTTAAGGAGGACATCTTGCTTTTGCATCTTGTTGTGCTGCCATGCGGGTCTCCACTGTTCTGTCAGTGTTTAGCTTCATGATTCATTGGCTTCTACAAGTCATTTGAAAATGTCCTTATTGTGATGTCACAACCAGGGAAATGAGCATAGCAGCTCAGCTGAATAATTGTTTTCTTTTGCATGTAAAGAAGAAGTTTGTTATTTTGCTGACGAGCGTGTGGTGCAATAATTACAGCAAGGGGCATTTATTTCCGTACTGGTGTGTGTGGGATGAGGCTCCAATATTAGATCATAATAATAATAAAGAATCCTTCTAAAATGTAAATAGTATTTTTGCTTAAAATGCCATCCTAAATCTAAGGATACAATGATGAGGCGTGCTACCAAAACAAGTCTGAGTACTTCCAGTTGAATAAAAATTGCCACTCTAAGTCACGGTTTGGGATAAAGTTCAGTCCAACGGAAAATCCTCTCCTTGAGTTTTTTAGGCCTGTAGTAGTAACTCTCCCAGAACCTCCACGTCAGGAAGCAGAGTGACTACAGCAAGACAGGATCTG